TGATCTGACATGAAGTTTATCTCCTATGTTCGTATGATTCATAAAACAACATGAAATCAAAATCAACCCTATTTATCTTCAATAATTATATCAATAAAATATTTTAATAAATATTTTATTGAGATATTACACACACATATATATTATTGTAGAAATATATAATTAATTATTTTACTTTAATATATTTAGTTTTATAAAAATATATTTTATATTTCATTTATTTTTAATAATCTAACATATGAAAACAGATGGATTGAAATTCATATCTTATGTTCATATGATTCATAAAATGACGACAACATGAAATCCAAAGACCCTGTTTTTCTTTAAAAAGATTTAATAATTCATTCTGTAATATTTTTTTTATATATTTTCAATATTTATATCAATATATGTGTTGTATTTCATAAGAGCAACAGATGAGTCTCTAAGACAAAAAAAAAAAAACGTTTTATTAAATAAATTATAATATTAAAATAAATAATACATTTTTAATAAATAAATAATAAATGTCTTATTGTACACATTTTATGAGTGCAACACAAATTTGCCTTGATTTCATGCTGTCTATGAAGCAACCTTTTTGTGGTAAATGTAACGCACAGTTAGGTCACTATCAAAAAATGTATCTCAATGGTAATGCATGCCCTGATAGCCCATCCTGATCCGCCTGTGGGCCATTACTGTGTGACAGTGTGAGGTACACTAGGGCAGCGTTTTGTTGCTCCATACCTGCAGGATCAGCAGACACAGGAAGTAGAGGTTAGCCGCTCTCTTAAACTGCTCGTACAGGTTCAGCGGCAGGAAGGTGAAGAAGTTATATTTGTAGGTCTTGATTGCATTGCCCTTAAAATTAAAACAAATGCAAGATATTATCAAACTGGTATAAAGCTTTAAGTCTTCATTTTTGCAGGTTCTCATCCCAAAAGGATTGAATTGTGAACTCTTGCACTTAACACACTTAACCCAAGATGAGGGTCCCTGTAGTAAAAATCACTTTATATAAAACATTACCTGCTGAATGTGAAATGATATATCAATAAAACCCAGGCTTTTCGGTAAGTTTAAAGCTTGTTAGTTGTGAAACGATGCAGACTTTCTCATGAAGTTTCTGAAATATGAGGCTGGAATAGCAGATAGATATATTTGAAACCCTAAAATCAAAAGAAAAGCTTGTCTTCAGATCTGGGGAAGGCTTCCACCACAGAATTGAAAAAAAATTAAAAAAATAAAAATTCTAACATTATTGCGACAATCTCACAATTCACTTCAATTACGAGTTTATCACACATAATTCTAAGATTTTTTCTTAGAATTCTAGAGATTTTACATCTCACAATTTTGACTTTTTTGCCTCAGAATTCTGATATTTGACATAAAAACATATGGATTGAAGTTTATATCATATGTTCATATGATTCATAAAATGAGACTGTGAAATCGACCCTGTTTATTTTCCTAAAAGTATAAGTAATTCATTTTATTATATTTTAATATATTTGCAATATTTATAGAAATAAAAAAAAATCTATAAACATACATACATGACAGACGGCTTTCTAAGACAAAAAATAGTTTTTTTAATATAGAATTAATTACTTTAATATAACATTTATTTATATCAATAAATAAATATTTTCTATTGGAATTCTGAGTTTACATCTCACAATTCTATGTTTTTAAAATAATTATTTACCACGGAATAAAATTTTTTTTTTAAATAAAACACGTAATTGCAACTTTTTATCTTGGAATTCTAACTCTTTTTTTTTTTTTTTTTCTCAAAATTGCCAGAAAGTAAGTCAGAATTGCGAGACAAACCAAAAATATTATAAAAAAAAAAAAGTCTGAATTGTGAGATAAAAAGTTGTTTAAAAAGTTTTTATCCGGTTGCAGAAACAGCAATCATAGGTTCAACACCTTAGTTACAGACTCATGAGTCTGATTCATGCGTCTCTGCTATCATTTGCCTGTTTTCCTATTTTAGTTCCTATTTTTTGGTTTCTCTATTTTAGCTCCATTCACTCTCTTTCTCATTCAAAATGTATTTACCAAACCCAACTGATTTCCCTAGATGTAAATCACAACACATCTATATCTGCTCTCGTAGGGTAACATTTCAACCTCAAGACAAATCCAGTCACGCCGAACACATGATACACAGCAAACCTCGACACACACATTTGACACATGAAGGACTCGTTTTTCCAGTCTTTAACATAATTGTCATGCCAAAGATCTTAAACTCCACCACTCTGAATGGAGCTGTTGCGTGTTTAACATGTTAATTATGTAAGAAAATGACCATAAAACACTCAGTTTAGACCATATTAGAGGCCAAGCCCCGAGGTTTTAGAGTTATTTAACACAACAGAACAGAAAAGAGCACAATGACAAACTGCAAACAAAATGCATGACGTGTTACTTAATTTTCTGGCGTTTCCCGAAGGCGTTTCCAACAATATAAATGTCTCCGACTGAGGTGTAATACTAAGATTGACTTGCAACGTTTGTTAAGTCACTATGAGTAGAACTATGAACTATGACGTTGTTGCTGTTTTTCAGGTGAATTCAGAGGTGATTCGTGATTTCTCTGACTAGAAATTAAACATTTGACAGAGAAAAACAGATACTATACAGTTTGACATTAACATTTCAGAGTTCCTCCTCAAAGAACTAAAAATGAATGTTCCTTTGAACACTGGTTTGACCAAGTCGTACAATGACTGTGAGTGAGAGGAAAAATATATCCAAATAATGATTATGGTATAGTAAAAGTATAGTTTCACTTTCCTGGTTCTTTAGTTTCACATGAAAACATCTGCCCACTTCAAACGCTCACTGTTTGTGGTGTAAACAGCGGAAAAATCCAGCATGCAAGCCGTTTCGTGTTAGTAAGCAGTGGGAAATCATTAGCAGATGCGTTTATCTGAGGACACTTGCAGTATTTACCAGGACGATCTCTATAGTTGAGTGTCTTAAAGGCACAATGACAGACTTCTGGTTTAAAGCTCACTTTAAGCACTACAGCACATCACCACAAAACAAAACAAAAAACACAAAGCACAAAGCACACAACACAACACAACACAACACAACACAACACAACACAACACAACACAACACAACACAACACAACACAACACAACACAACACAACATAACATAACATAACATAACATAACATAACATAACATAACATAACATAACATAACATAACATAACATAACATAACACAACATAACATAACATAACATAACATAACATAACATAACATAAAACAAAACAAAACAAAACAAAAAATTAAAAATAAAATATAAACAACCTTCTTTATCATATACAACACCAGTCAAAAGTTTGGAATAGTTAAGATTTGTTACTGTTTTTGAAAGAAGTCTCTCCTGTTCACCAAGGCTGCATTTATTTGATCAAAAATACAGTACAAATTGTGAAATATTATTACAATTTCAAATAAGTGTTTTCTATATGAATATATGTTAAAATGTAATTTATTGCTGTGATCAAAGCTGTATTTTCAGCATCATTACTCCAGTCTTCAGTCACATGATCTTCAGAAATCATTCTAATATGCTGATTTGCTGCTCAAGAAACATTTCTGATGATGATCAATGTTGATGCTATTTTATCAATGTTATTTTAAATTGCAATAATACTTCACAATATTACTGTTTTTACTGTATTATCAAATAAATGCAGCAGAAGAGGCGTCTTTCAGAAACATGAAAAAAATCTTAATTATTCCAAACCGGCAGTGCACAAACAGGCAATTCAGGTTTCACTAAAAATAACAACAGATTCACTTACAGAATATCTGCTTTTCTTGATGCACAGAAAGACCTTCTTCTTAAACTGGGGTTGATTGCAATATTCCCTGTCATTTGCTCGGATGCTCCAACCGGGCTCTGAGAGGAGAATCACAATCAGAACACAAGCACTGACAGGACACTTTCACACCAGATCCGTCCTCAAACTCACCGGCGGCAGGTGCGGGTCCGATTTCCGGTTCTGGCAGCTGGTCTTCACTCCGATCCAGATCATCTTCTGACTGTAACTCTTCGTCCGTCTCGTCGTCGCTGTAGGGCACCACCTCATCGTCCGGCTCCTCCAGGGAACCCTGGGAAGCGGCCCGTGCTCGAGCGCTCATCCTGAGAGACCCTCTGCTCCGAGAAAAGAGAGAAAATTATTACACATAAACAGCACTGAGAGCCAATAATCGACAGATTTGCGTGTCGCACAGCAACATGTCAAAACAATGATTTGGCTTGCTAACACCATGCAGAAAACACACACACACACATTTTCCACTACACACTGTAACACAACACACTAACAAAATACTGGTAACCAGTGGTACTGGATCTTTATATTATTGATGTACAATGTTATTTAAATCCATGAAAAATTAAGACAAACGTTCATTGGTTGTTCAATATAAACTTGATGTTCATACAAGGTTATTATAGTTAACCAAAACTAAAACCATAAAATAAAACATTTCCGTTACTTTTGTTTAAATAAAATATATATATATAAAAAACTAACTTTATTTCATTTCTAATTTTTATTAAGTTTAACTCAAAGTACTAAAATAATTAAACAAAACTCAAATGAACAAAACCCAATCTTAGTTTATTTCAGCTAGCTGTCAAAATGTCTAGTTTTCAATTAGTTTTACTTAAAAGTACTAAAATGATTAAAAAGAAATATAAATTAGTAAAAATTATAGACATTTTTCTTTTTAAAAAACTAATAAAAATGACACCAAAAATTACTAAAACTTTGACAAAAATGAAAGAAACTATAAAAATAAAATCTAATTCCAATCAAATGATACTAAAATAACACTTATCCATAAGCAATCGCATGCTTTTAAAATACAATTTAGAAGTTACATTTAAAATTGACTTATTAATCATTTCAAACATCAAGTAAACTGTTTGAAATGTGTATTCCTGGTTAATTATTAGATATTTAATACAAAATATTTGTTTTAATTTAATCATTTTAATAAGTAATAATTTAATAATTGAATATTTATTTTAATTTAATTATTAAATAAATTGATGATGATGATGATGATGACGATGGTATTATCATTATCATTATTAACTGATTCCTTTAGCAGCATTCGTAGTGCATGTGATCAGTGTTTTAATCTATATTTCTCAATCCTGCAGAAAGCCCATTGTTCATGATGACAATGAAAGGTATGAAATGAATTACGCAAAAAGCAAATACAAAAAACGAGTCGACCTTTGACACAGAGCCTCTGTACAAGACAGAAAGTGCCGCTAGTGAAAAGATATTCTGATGTTCTCAGCACTTTTCTTCTGCTTCAGTATAAAAAGCTTGCTGTCAAACGAACACTCAGCCGGCCTCACCGGAATCGCCACATAATCTCCAGCATCACACAACACCAGCAGAATCCACAGCTACATACAACTACAGACAGTGAAACATACAGTGTCACTTCAGTTTGTTTAGTTCTGATAGGATACGGATCAGATGATGACACTCATTTTCATAAAATAAATATATGTGTATGTGTGTGCATTTTAAAAACACTCTTTTTTAAATGTTGGAACATCATTAATAAATATTTTCATTTTAAAAAATCATTGCTCTATAATGTGTTTGAATAGAGACATTTTTCCAGTTTTTTTAAGTTGTAAAAGAATGAATTAAAAAAAAATAATAATAATGACATAAGTAAAAAGTTAAATTACTAAAATATTTAATAATTTGTATGAAAAAAAATATCACTGTAAAAATTATTTCTCCAAGTTTCTAAGTAAATAAAACAAATATGATTGGAATATGTAAAAATACCATTTCAGTTTTTCTACTTTAAATTTTTATTTAATAATTAACATGAAAAAATAGCATCATGTTGTACTGTAAAAAAAAAAAAGTTTTCAAGTAAATAAATATTATTGAAGTATGTTTCATACTCTTTCAGTTTTTACAGATTTTTAGTTTTAGTTTTTTTTTTACTATTACAGAATAATAGTAAAAATACTATTTCAGTTTTTCTACTTGAACGTTGTTTTTAATAATTTACATGGGGGGAAAAATAGTGTTACTAAAAGTCACAAAAAAGATTTTTCCAAGTTTTAAAGTAAATAAAATTTATAATATTGGAGTATGTTTTACAAAAAAAATAAATAATACTATTTCAGTTTTTCTATTCATGTTTCATTCAATTAGTAACTTGCCGTTTCTTGGTAATTATTTGTGAAATCTACTAGCAATTTCTGAGTGAAAACTGTTCCAAAGTAAATCCTACACCATTTTTTTTGTTGTTACTGCAATCATTTACATTTATGCATCCAAAGTTAAATACACTCCATATATTCAAGAAATATTAAACATTTTATATACTTTACCATATATTTTATCAGAATCAAACTCATGACCCATGATGCCTTTCTCTACTGTTTGAGCAAGCAATATAAAACAAAAGAAGGACTTGGAACAACAGCATTCATGATTCTGGAAAAACAATTTTTGGTTGATTTGGTTGTTTCAGAGGTGGCAAAAGTTACTACTTTTTGATAAAAATATGATTAGGTTAAACATAGGTTTCACTGGAATAACATGCACTGATGAATAATTCACAATAAGACCAGAAACATGGTTTAAGAAAGTAAATAGTAAACAGTCAGAAGGTGAGTTTTGATTTCATGTTGTCTTTATTGATGGATGAGTTTCTCAGATGTAAATGCAACCACAATCGCAGGATGATCCTCCTCTGGTCTTATGGAAACCTGAGGTATTCATGATCCGAATGAGCGCTCAAGCATCTCTAAAGCATCTACACCGATACCAGGCATCTAAGGTCATTGTTTGATAAGAGATTCATTTGGAAAAGTTCAGCGGGGAAGAATCCCTCTGTAAATATTTAAATATGTCCTCCTTTTCATCACATGAGGTATTGCTTAACACATTAACCAACATCAAAAACCCAACGCCTTTTCTTGGTTTAATATTATATGAAAAACAGAAGGAGGTGCCATGTTTTGGGAATGAGATAAATATCCTTAAAGCCCAATATAAAGTTGCACTAATCAAACAGCAGAGATGAATTCAAACTAGCAAGCATGACTTTTATTAAACGTGGCCCGCAGCGCTGAAACAACAAACAATCCACCAGGATGCTGCCGCAAAACTGTTTGAAGAGCGTAACAGAGCACACACCCGGAAAGAGAAAGAAACACAGCATGCAAAACACACACCCATGTTTATCCACGGCTCTCTTTGCGTATGTGATGTAATGCTGCAGGAGGTGACATGTTTAGCAATGAAGAGCTGAGGCCTGAGAGAACCAGATGCATCAGAGAATTTCACCAAGGCTTTGTTAAGGAGCCACATTTACGTTAAGATGGTTTCAGTTTAGTGTTGCGCTCTGAATACATGGTTTATTCTTCACAAGAAAGACTCTTCAGTGGTTCAATAACCATTTGTGGCCGTATAGGGCTCTTGAGTTGCTAAAGGGATATTAAAAGGGTCTTGGAACAATACAAAATCTTCCGTTTTTACATTTTTTTTGTGAATTTTGAAAAAATAAATAAATAAAATAAAATGTGTAAATGTATAAATATTTATACAAATGGTAGAACAACAGATAGAACGACAGATAGGGATGGATGGATGGACGGACGGACGGACGGACGGATGGATGGAACAATATATCAAATGACGGATTGATGAAATGATTAGGGTTGGGTATTGTTTGAATTTGATAAATTCTGATTCCGATTCCGATTCTTATCGATTCCCAGTTTCGATTCCAATGTGATTAAATAATGATATCAAACATTTATCCAGTGTCTCTTTTTTGCAAACCATTTATTGGAGCTGAATACCATGAACAAAAATCAACAGGCTACAACAGGCATGTAATTTATGAATTAATGATTAAATGACTCACTCAAGATGTACTTGTTTCATTACTGGATGAATCAGCGTTCTTGAACAAATCTCTTGTATGATTCAAAGACAAATACATTTTAACAGCCCCTTTTCGCCACCTACTGGCGTAACAATGTAATCGATAATCTTCATTTGAAGTGTCAAATTACTTTCAAAAGGTGATTTACTCTATTTTAATCGCTACCATACACATCGTACACACAGTTTATATCTAAACTATTTCTGTGATTTGAATGTTTGAAACAGAAATAATACTGATACTGTGTGGCTGAAAAGACTGTGAAGCTGTTTCATTCATGACAGACAGCTGCTCTCTTTAGGTCAGCGGCAGCACGAACGCAGATTTAAATGTTCAAATCACACTGATGTGATCGTACTCTGCACGGACGAACCACGCGATCACAACATTGATCGCACACGTCAAAGGTTGAGGAATGAAACAGACGAATCATTGTAATTTAGGAATAGAATCACGTAGGTGTTTGAATCGTGATCGCGATCTTTAACGATCTATTAAATTAAAGTGCGTTGTCATGTTGGTGGTGACACCTCTCTTGCAACATGTTTAGCTATCACAGATATTATACTTAGCTTTTTTGGCTTTTGATCGCAAATGTAGCCAAACTTTGGAGCGCTTAGATTAGCGAGCAAGGTCCTGGCAGATCGCTAGGTCCGGTCCTCACAGATGAAGCAAAAAAAAGCACATAGGAATCGATAGGCGGAATCTAAATTTTAATTTGACAACAAGTATCTGATTCCTGACCTTAAGTATCCGATTCTGGAATTGGAATCGATTTTCGATTCCCAACTCTAGAAATGATAGAATGATAGATCGAACAACAGAGCAATAGATTAAACAACAGAAAGATAGATGGATGGATGGTTGGATAGAACGATAGATAGAATGATAGAATAATAGAATGATGGATAGAATGATAGAAGGATAGGATAGATAGAACATTAGAACGATAGAAGGATATATAGAATGATAGATAGATAGAACGATAGAATGAAAGAGCGATAGATAGAACGATCGATAAAACTATAGAATGATCGATAGAACGATAGAATGATCGATAGAACGATAGAACGTTAGAACGATAGACAGATAGATAGATAGATAGATAGATAGATAGATAGATAGATAGAAGGATATATAGAACGATAGATAGAACGAAAGAACGATAGATAGAACGACAGACAGACAGATAGACAGACAGATAGA